TGATGTTTTAAAAAATACTCTGACATTGACTTAAAAGAAATATTTAAGCAAACCTAAGACAAAGAGTGGGAACTCTCACATAGTAAAATAAACCGGGAGTGATCTGCCCTAACCTTTCTTGAATATTCTTATACGAGATCAATGGTCCGTTGAGGAAAGATACAACGGGCGATAAGCTGGTAGTGTTGTCTCTTTTCTTTAAACACTAAAAAAAAACGAAGCCACCTTTACCTCAAATTGAACTGCAAACGAAAAATTATATTAAAAACTGATTTTTATCAAGAATCGAGATTTTAATCGGATTTAAGCTTGATCTGCACGTAGTTATCGGCTCCCCCCACCTCCCCCACACACACCCCAAAACATGTCTACCGTCCCATTCAACGAAATACAATTATATACTTTTTCCAGTGTCCGCCCCTCCCAAAAAATTCCACCCCGAAAATGCCAAGTACCCCCAGCTATCTCTCCGGGGAGGAAAAAGTATGAAAGAAACACTGGTCGCAATTGTAGATCATACAATTTAAAGGAAGAACCTGGGCAGGGCTTCGCCCCTACCGGAAGAGATGCATGAAAGAAACTGTGCACGCAAAACACTTTTTAGATTAGAAAAAGTTCCTCCTCCGGGGAGGAAAAAACCTGAAAGGAACACTGGTGTCGCGCTTAGCCACTACCCGAAGAACTGCATGAAAGAAACTTTACACGTAAAACGCTTATAAGATTCGTTCTTACGCGAAGGTGGGGCTTCGCCACTACCCGAAAAATTGCATGAAAGAAACACAAAATTGGCATTTATTCAATGTTTACACGAAAATCAATGACGCCATATTATTGTGTGCACTCCCCCAGCTTTAGACTATTTCCTACTGTATGCTCCATGTGACGGCATGTTTCGTTTTCGTTTACTGTGCAAGTTTTTACTCTGCTTGTGTTTTCTCTATACCTTTTCTTGTCAGATACATAGATAGATACACAGACAGCGAAACTATTATTATAGACGAGAAAAATGGCCCGTTGAGAAAGGATACGACGGGCACTAGGTTGATAGTGTTGTCTATTTTCTCTAAACTAAAACAAAAACCAAAATCACCACCTTAATTCAATTTAACCAGAAACGAAAAATGACATTGAAAACGGATTTTTATCAAGAATCGGTACTTTAATCGGATTTAAGCTTGATCTCCACGTAGTTACTGCACATTGCTACTAAATATAGCTGTAGCCGTTCCCCATAAACCTTGCAAATAATCTCAATCATGATAAAAGTCGCATTTAGAGTTTCTTTTAGGCGACTCCACTTGCCCCCCCCACACACACATACACCTCAAAGCACATCTACCTTCCCATTCAAGGAAATATAATTTATATAGAAAATATACTTCACCATATCCACCCCCTGCCAGAAAAAAAAATTAGTGCACACGCACCCCCGACTATTTCAAGTACCCCCCCCCCCACCTCAGGGGAGGAAAAAGTCTGAAAGAAACACTGATAGTATTTGCTGATCATACAGACTAAAGGTAGAGCCTACTTCTAAAATTTAGACCTCGATTCCTACTTTAAGCCGATTAACCTCACTCTCACAGACAGTGTTTCTTTCAGATATTTTTCTGGGGGTGGGGCACTTGAATTTTTGCAGAGGTGAATAAAATTATCCGATGCGGGTGAGGCCGACACTGGTAAAAGTATAATATATTTTCTATATAAAATATATTTCGTTTTTAAAGGGAGGGATTAGACGTTCTACCGTGAGGGGGGGGGGGGGGGGTAAGGTTGATTGGGCTGCACCCCTACCCGAAGAGATGCATGATAGAAACTCTGCAAGCTAATCACTTTTTAGATTAGACACATGAATGAGGCGGTAATTTTATTATAGAGTATCGATGACGACATTTCTTTTGAGTTGGGGGGGGGGGGGGGGCAGCTTAGACGTTCTTTTGCGGGGGTGTGGCTTTGTAAGAAAGAAACTCTTCACGCAAACCATTTTTAAGATTAGACAAAATTGGCTTTTAATTTGATTTATTATTTTTGCCCGATTAATATTACATTTGTTACATGTATTCATGATTATCTGATATATATCTGAGATTATATAACAAATATAAAAACCTTCATTTCAACAAGATGACCTATAACTTTTAAAAATACATTCCAGTGCCAAAATTATTTTTTTTTTTAAAAAGATTTTTCAAGGGTGTGTTTTTGCAGCGAAATTTGAATGGATCGACATCATGAAATCTCTACATTTAAAAATCTTTTTGGTACTACTGTGTATCGTTCTGTTAAATTTTATCAAGGATTTCAGGTAAGATCATACTATGCTAAATAAGTTGTAACTATCACGTGTTGACGGTGTGTATTTTTAAAAATTGTATTCGTTGTATGTGTAAAGGAGTTCGGCTTAGTTAAGCTCGTGGTTGCTGAATCGAAAAGTCTCGAGTTCGAACCCCAGGCAGATGGGGCTACAATTATTGTAGCGCTTTTAAATTTAATTCATGCCTGTATTTTTATTTTTTAATTTTATAATTTAATTATTGTAAGTACTACTTTTCCATAATTGTTTTTACTGTATTACATTTTTTTAGGGTTTTTCACTATAAAATCCTAAAGCGTGAGGAAATTATTTTTTAAATTTAGCTTAGAAGGAGTAACTTGAATGTCATTTTTCTCCTTTGCCGTAGTTTTTTTTTAGCCATAGCGCCATTTATTGATCCATAATCATTTATGCAGTAGCGTACGCAGTGGGGGAGCAGGGGGAGCGGCCGCTCCCCCTCTGGCCTTTTTCAGCAAAGTGGCGCCTCTTACGAAACTTTTTAAAGTCAAAGTTTTAAACAATGATATTTGTGAAAAAACATATTTTTGGTCGGCACATCTATGTAAATCACAAAATTTCTTTTCCTTCAGTAATTAAGCATTATTGTACTAGTCTAGTAATGTCTACGTTTACAACACGTATTAACAGCTGCATCAGTTTGCCATTCAAAAAATAACAATAACGATGCGTTGCAATGTTTAAAAAACCTCTACCGGTAGTACCACTTGGCAAGAGCGGTGTTAAGTTTAAGGCAATTGTATAATGTATTTGATTACGAATAATTGAATTAGAAAATGTTATTCATAAAACTGCACACATAGTTACTTTATATATACAGTTTGAATCGTGTGATTAATTAAAAATAAATTACAATATAGAAATAAATACAACTGATGTGGCACCTCTATTTAAATTTACTTATGAGCAAACTGCGTAGTGGTGGGGAAATTTTGACAAGGTCTTCAACGTCATCACGATGAATTAGTAGTATAACAGTTTGGGCGATAGTGATTACGATTACAAATTATATGAAACAGTTACAACCCCCTCCCCCATGGACCCCTCTGTAAAAAAAATATTGTCATAATACCACAGCTACTTATTTAAATCTATTTCTGTAATATATATTTGTGTAATATATATGTATGTTTAGAACAGTCATCTAAAAACTGATGCTATGTTCACACGGAGTTGGTTATCTCCCCGCCCCCCCCCCCACACACACACACCTCACCACCACAATTGTGTTAGAGCGACATTAATGTCACACCTAGGTATACGCTGGGTTGGATAATTGACCTAAAGTGATCGGACAGTGGTGAATAAAGTTGACCCCCCCCCCCTTCCCAAAACCCACCCCGAACTTATCTGTTAAGTACATGTAGAAAAACGCGTAATGATGTACCAAAGTACAATGCCGCCAGAAAATTAGCTTTTTAAATGTAAAACTCTGTGAATATTGTTTTTGCAATTACCAGTAAAAACGTGTGTGATCAATACAGTAATCTAACCCATACCTATCACTATGTTAAAAATGATCTTTAAGAACACAATGAAGCAGTAGTTAATTAAAAATATAGGATCTGAACTAAATGACCGCTAATTATTTAAATGTAGGCTGTTATTCCAAATGTCTTCTATTTTATCGAAAAGCGTGGTTTTATACTAACTCTGATTTTAAAACTTTCATTATGCTGTAATACTTTAGCATTTATGATGACTATATATTAAATTCTGATTATACACAAAAACATTTTGTTTACACGAATAGTGTTAAACAATTTCATTATATTCTAAAGTAATTAATTATTTGTGTTGACATTTATAATTAAATGTGTAGATATATACTTATTTATATTAAGAGAGTGATTATTTCCCCTATTTCACTTGTCTTAAATAATTTCCCAGGAATAATTTTGTAAGAAATTTTTTTTACAAGAATTACAAAACAGATTGTGTTACGTTCATTGTTTTTGGTTGTAGTGTGTGTATATTTTGTTTTGTTTAGGTTGATACAATTTTTGTTTTGTCGGCCTACATTGTGTGTTTTTTCTTATTTCTTCAGAGTGCTACTTTCAATTTATTTTACATCAAAGCGAAGTAATGACATACAGCTAGTAATTATATATATATATATATATATATATATATATATATATATATATATATATATATATATATATATATATATATAATACACGTATATAGAATGTGTTAAAAATTCGGCGCCTTTTTTTTGCTCTTTTCGCTCCCCCTAGAACAAAAACCTGGATACGCCTCTGCATTTATGTTACCATTTCGGTTATGCTAAGTTAATACGATTTATATGAATTTAGTATATGCTACAACATATATCTCGAACATTAAACACAATAATATGTAATGTATGCAATAATGCTTCGATAAAACTGAGTACATGATTAAGAAGAATCGATATGTTTTAAGAATACTTTAATGTTTAATTTGCAGATTCTGGCCTTCTCTGATGAGTATGGTAAACCAAAACAGCACTTTTTACAACTCGCATAGAAACGACAAAGCAATAAATTCTACATTGACAAATCTGTTGAAATCGTCAGTAAACTTTACTACACTTTATGCAAAGGCTAGTACCACATCGTCCGTAGCGACTAGTGCAAGTAGTGTGACATCTCAAGTGATCGTGACTTCCTTAGCCGTCAGTAACATGACTTCCCCAGTGACAAGTATCATGACGTCAATAGTGAAAGGTCACAATACATCCACAAGAAAAAGTCCAGATACTTCCCTTGTGACCAGTCCCCATATATCCCAAGTGACCACTCCAAATACATCCCAACTGAATAGTCCACCTACATCCATGGTGACCAGTCCTGATACATCTCTAGTAACCAGTCCCCATACATTAACAGTAACACAAAGTCCCGATATATCCATAGTGACAAGTCCCCATATAGCCCCAGTTACCCTTTCGAATAAATCGCCAATGACTAGTCCACATACGACCCAAGTGACAAGTCCCGATACATACCTAGAAGCTAGTAAAACAACAAGTTTACTGAACAGTCCATCAACGATCAGCGCCAGTGTCCACTACGCCGACCCACCACTGTATGTGAAATCAGCTTCGCTATACGGCAGACTCGGCAACCAGATGTTTATGTATGCTTCCCTAGTTGGCATAGCCAGGATACAGAATAGGATACCTTGTGTAGATGATGGTCGGTTGATAACGAATGCGTTTAATATAAGTTTTATTCATCGGATTGATTCCACGGGGTAAGTACTACATGCTCTTGTTCTTAATTTTATTCATTTACAAAGACTACATTAATTTGGTATAGTTTGGAGCTTGAACTATTTAAGTTTAATAATTATTTCCACGTTCTTATGTGAATACCCCCCCCCCCCCCCTCCAAATCGTTAGTTGTGTTCAGTACCAATGCCGCAAAAAGAATTTTTTAAACTTTCGAATACTTTTTACTTGGGGTCACGGGTCACTTGAGTCTTCGGAGTTGGGGGCGCAAGTAATATTCCGGGGAGAAGGGATGTACGCTTGTTAAATTCTAAAAATTGTTTTTGGTACGACTTTATTAACGATTGTTAGATATAAATACTTAATAAAAAAAAAACTCAACCGGAAAGCAACAGTTTAGAGTGATTGAATTATGATAGCTTTTCTACTTTTAAAAGTTTACTTTTTATTTCAGCTGGACCGCTATCAGCCTTAGTAGATACGGCTTCTTTGATAAATCGTTCATGAACTTACCCAAAGTAAACGTTACCATTTCAGGCTATTTTCAGTCCTGGAAGTATTTTGTATACGTTAAGAACGATATTCGACGAGAGTTCACATTTCTTCCGAGCATACAGGAGAAAACTGCCAATTTTTACAGACGGTTACGGAAGACAAACGAAGACACGATATTCATCGGTGTTCATGTAAGGAGGACAGACTTTGTAAAGAATAAAAATATTGTTAGAGGGTATGGTGTACCGAAAAGGTCATATTTTATAAAAGCGTTTGACTACATGCGAAATATCCTGTCAAACAACACAATGTTTCTTGTTGCCAGTGACGACATGGAATGGTGCAGACAAAATCTGAATGACACAGACGTGAAACTGTTAGAGCCGGACTCAGCACAAAATCACATGAGTATCTTGTCCAGCAGCGATCACGTGATAATCTCCAGTGGAACGTTTGGGTGGTGGTGTGCGTGGCTGACAAAGGGTCTCACAATTTATTTTAAGGGTTATCCCAGCCCGGGTTCACAAATTGGTGTCGATCTCAATAGAGCGGATTACTACCTTCCTGGCTGGGTGGGCTTAGATAATTAAGTTCATGATATGGTGTATGCATCTTAATGACAGCTTTTTTTCACATACTTTACGAATGTACCAATGGACGGACGGACAGACTAATGGACGGATAGAAGCATGTAAGCATTATAGAACACATATTTAATTAATAAGCATTTTTAAATGGTTTTCGAAAATAAATTTCCTTACCGTTTTAGCAAATTTTAATATTTAAAGAAAAACTAATATATTTCAGAAGTAAACTGTTTTATAAAAAGCTAGTTTTTAATTATTTTTTTTAAATTAAAATGTATTATGCAATTTAAAATGTTGTGTTCATTTGTTTCTTTTTGTATATTGTAGCCTTGCAGCAGTCATTTATGATTAGCAATCACATAAGCATTGATATTTTATCAAATTGTAATTCGGTTATAATGACTCATATGTTTAAATTCTTGTTGAAAAATTGTGGTAAATAAAAACCAGCACTAATGAAAAAATTTCCAAACGAATGTGTATTTAACAACCCTTTTTACATTTAAATTTTTTTTCCCGACGTAAGTTGTTTGTTTACGTCGCTCAATTTAAGCATAAAAGATTATTAATTTCAAACTGCGGTCCTATCTAACAAACACAGTTTTGAAGCAGGGCCAATTTGCAGTACTACATTAACTATCAACTTTATAAAATCATTTTATAATCATTTTGCAGATGTATATTTACTTTTTCGTAATAAAAGTATAAAGGAAGTATTTTGTAAACAATCATATATAAGTTTTTCAATTAAGTCTATCTGTGTGTCTGTCTGTGAACACAAGAACTTGCGTAGGGGCCTACCGTTACATCTAGGTGGACGAAATATGTATTTTATCAAGTATGTATTTCTCTATCAATAATTCAACGATTTCCGGTAATCAGTATTAGAAAGTATTCTTTTATTTTCAAAACCCTATAACTTAAGTAATGTTTAAGTTATATAAATGGCATTTCAATTGTATGTATAAGATCTTACTCTCTGTTTTCTTTCCAATTTTGAGTAATTTCCGATGACCGCAAGTACACTTTTCCCTTTTCCAATAGCCATCATCTTTATAGCCCCAGGCAGTAAGGGGGGGGGGGTAATTAGGAGAGAATAACCACCAACTTTGTAGCCCAAGACAATTAGCGCGGGGAGGTAATAAGGGGAGAATAGCCACCAACTTTGTAGCCCGAAGCAGTTAGAGCGGGGAGGTAACAAGTAAGGAATAACCACCAACTTTGTAACAACAGGCTGTTGTAGCGGGGAGGTATGAGGGGTTGGACACAGAGTAAAATAATTACAAAATTTTCTGATCTCCACGATATCCGGTGTATAAACATTATTATTATCAAGTGCAGAAATTGTATGATCAGTATAATGATTAGTCGTTTTTTTTTCATCGACTTGATTCTGATGACCATCATTAACTGGGCATATAACAGACTCATGACCATGGATTCTAAATCTAAACGGTCGTATATCTATCGTGTAGTCAACCATTTTTGTTACAGATACTATCTATTGACGCTCCTAAATTAATCAATGACGACATATGTTCGATGGTCGAGAAACATTGTAAAATCAATAAATAATTGTACAATTTTATTACGAAAATTTGTTATCGTCAAACAGGGCACGGCTATACAGCAGTATTTTTATACTCAACTTCTTCAGACAATAATATTCTTGTAAATGACAATCCAAACATAGAACTAGATCTGGCAACATAATTAATACCTGTATATGTAAATTATAAAGCCAAATTTTGAATATCAATACAATTCTTGAAGATGTTAACTTTAAAAGAAAATCGCTATGTTACCCCAAAACAAATACCTGAAGAATTACTTGATCATTTACAAGGTAACTGTGTTTTGTCATTAATTAAGCAAAACAAACAATGCACACCTGGTGATTGTAAATATAATACAATGTTCATTAAGGACAAGTGATACACATTGGATGGAGAACCAATGATCGTATAAGTACGAGGCTCAGAGGCGTATCTAGGTTTTCGTTGTAGGGGGAGCGAAAAGAAAAAAAAAAGGCGCCGAATTTTTAACACGTTCTATATACGTGTATTATATATATATATATATATATATATATATATATATATATATATATATATATATATATATATATATGTATATATATATATATATATATATATATGTATGTTACGTACCCCCTTCTCTAATCCTTTCGAACTAGTCAGGGAATCGTAAACAAGAAGAAGAAAAATAAAAATAAATAAAAGCCAATCTCAGTAATCTCTATTTATTTCGACAAATTACACCACTTAAAGTTAACCCGCCACCGAAGTACAACAATCAGAAATATACACAAGTAACTACAACAACTAAAGTTCTTAGTATGACTACCCTACTTGTCCCTAACTGTCTATCTAGCCTAGGTCTACTACAGTACAGGCATCTCTTGGCTGTCCACTAGGTCACAGAGACGCCCCATGTCTGTCTCCTCTAGACCTAGCTATCCGAGTCCGTCTCCGTGTGTGTGTCCGTGTGTCTGCCTCCGAGTGTCCCCTAGTCTGCTGTCTACCCTCCTAAAGTACTCGTCCCCCGTTTTTCACCGTGGGAACAATTTTTATTAAGGCCTGACCCTAGGTCATATCCGTCCATGACGGTCCCCTCGGTCCCGTCCGATCTGGAAGGGTTTTCCCAGCCGTAAACCACGGACCGTCACTAGCCTAGGTCAAGCATCAACGCTCAGCCCGTGGTGTCACCAGGTAATTTATGGGCTGTTGGCCACGTTACTACCCGAGTCCCGAAGACTCCAATTCTGCCACGCCCACAGCGTGTAATCTAATCCGTGGAGTGGCCGTCAAGACCCCCAGACTCTCACGGCCTATGCTGGCCAGTGCATTAACATGCCTAAGCATTTCATTTTAATTACCTGGCCCTCCTTGATGGGGCCAAACACAGGTAAAGATCCATTGGGATCGTAACAATATATATATATATATATATATATATATATATATATATATATATATATATATATATATATATATATATATATATATATATATATATATATATATAATTACTAGCTGAATGTCATTACTTCGCCATGATGTAAAATAAATTGAAAGTAGCATTCTGAAGAAATAAGAAAAAACACACAACGTAGGCCGACAAAACAAAAAAATGTATCAATCTAAACAATATATATATATATATATATATATATATATATATATATATATATATATATATATATATATATATATATATATATATATATATATATATATATACATACATATATATATATATATATATATATATATATATATATATATATATATATATATACACTACAACCAAACACAATGAACGTAGCACAATCTGTTTTGTAATTCTTGTACCAAAAATTTCTTACATAATAATTCCTGGGAAATTATTTAAGACAAGTGAAATAGGGGAAATAATCACTCTCTTAATATAAATATGTATATATCTACATATTTAACTATACATGTCAAAACAAATAAATAATTACTTTAGAATATAATGAAATTGTTTAAAACTATTCGAGTTTACAAAATGTTTTTGTCTAAAATCAGATTTTAATATATAGTTTTTATAAATGCTAAAATATTACAGCTTAATGATAGTTTTTGAACACAGAGTTGGTATAAAACCAGGCTTTCCGTTTTAATAGAGCTTCACTCGGAATAATAGTCTACATTTAACTTAATGGATCGGTCTTTTAGTTCAGATCATATATTTTAATTAACTACGGCTTCTTTGTGTTCCTTAAAGATCATTTTTTAACATAGTGATAGGTATGGGTTAGATCACTGTATTGATCACACACCTTTTTACTGGTAATTGCAAAAACAATATTCACAGAGTTTTACGTTTAAAAAGCTAATTTTCTGGCGGCATGGTACTTTGATACATCATTACGTGAATACCTAGGTGTGACATTAATGTCACACCTAGGTATTCACTGGGTTGGGGGGGGGGGGGGAGGAGATAACCAACTCAGAGTGAACATAGCGTCAGTTTTAGATGACTGTTCTAAACATACATATATATTACACAAATATATATTACACAAATATATATTACACAAATATATATTACAGAAATAGATTTAAATAAGTAGCAGTGGTATTATGACAATATTTTTTTTACATAGTGGTCCATGGGGGAGGGGGGTTGTAACTGTTTCATATAATTTGTAATCGTAATCACTATCGCCTAAACTGTAAGAATACTACTATTTCATCGTGATGACGTTGTTGATCTTGTCAAAATGTCCCCACCACTACGCAGTTTGCTCATAAGTAAATTTAAATCGAGGTGCCACATCAGTTGTATTTGTTTCTGTATTGTAATTTTAAAAAAAATTAATCACACGATTCAAACTGTATATATAAAGTAATTATGTGTGAAGTTTTATGTATAGCATTTTCTAATTCAATTATTCGTAAGCAAATACATTATACAGTTGCCTTAAACTTAACACCCCTCTTGCCAAGTGGTACTACCGTGGAGGTTTTTTAAACATTGCAATGCATCATAATGGTTATTTTTAGAATGGCAAACTGATGCAGCTGTTAATACGTGTTGTTAACGTAGACACTACTAGACTAGTACAATAATGCTTAATTGCTGCATGAAAAGAAATCTTGTGATTTAAATAGATGTGCCGACCAAAAAAAATTTTTAACAAATTTCATTGTTTAAAACTTTGAGTTTAAAAAGTTTCCAAAAAGGCGCCACTTTGCTGAAAATGGCCAGAGGGGGAGCGGCCGCTCCCCCTGCTCCCCCCCTGCGTACGCTACTGACAAGGTTACTTGGATTAGTAGTCATTTCAATATTTTTGTAACGACTTTATTTTATCAAAAGATGATATATTTAGTACTTCAATTGACTCGAACGTTTGAAGTATTTCGACGTATATGAAAAGCGTTGGCCGCTGTAATAATAAGTGTTTAAACAAGCGGCCCACGCTTTTTTATAGTGATATAAATAGTAGTGCATTA